GGGCGGTAGTTGATCGGTGACATTCGAAGATGTCTCCCAACGGCAGAGGCAATCCGTAGTCGTTCTTATCTACACCAATTGACAAGGACTTATAACCCGTAACTGTTGCCTCTTGATTTGTTTCCGAGACCGATTAAGGCCAGGGATGAAGTTCCTCCTCTCCATAGCACAAAGCCTGGGCAGTATTGTAGAGACCATATGTTGTTACCCATGCATAATGATCTCTCTCTCGACCTGCCTTGTTTACTCCAAAGGAAAGGTAAAACCAGTACTTTGGAACGAGGCAGGTTGCAGAAGCTGCCAGATCAGAAGAGCAGTGCTCTATCTGTCCGCCTGTCAGAGCTTCCCTCCTAGACCAGCTGCCAGCCAAGGTAAAGGGCTTAGGTTATTGTTAAAACCCTCTAAAATAACCCTTACTAAGTGCGATAAGGAAATTTCTTTTAATGTGTCTACAATTTACTTTTTATTTTTGGAAAAAAAGGGAGGGGAGGGGGACAGTATAGACGAAAAAAAGAGGATGGGTGGGCAGAGCTTAAGTGCGATCACCAAGTCAAAATTTTCCTTTATGTGCCACTCTGTTCTTTTTTTCCGGTTCTGTGGCTAAGTCCATGCGAACGCTTCGTAATGCCGGGATGCCGGGTTCAATCCCAGCTGCGGGCCATGCGCCTTGCGTTGGTTTCAACAGTGGAATCAAGAAAGTCGACCGTCCAGAAAGCAATGGCAAACTACTAGACGTAAATTTGCCTAGAAAAACCACACAACAGCCAGGGGCTGTTTCCCGAGGAGTATCTGACTCATGACATTAACACGATAAACACTAAACTACTATGAGAAAGAGAACTGCGGCAGAACAGTGATTGTCGCAGCCGCTGGCCAATCGTCCTCTGGTCAAGTGTTTGGCTCCCTTTGAGGAAGTTGTTATTTCTCTGATCCGAGAGAGACTCTCATAAACACAAAAGAGCGTTTCTACAAGTGTCTTTATCAACTGACAACACGCCAGATTATTTAAACAACCAAAATGGTTATTGTGGAACCACAAATACACAATAAAATAAATTATGGCTGCAAAGAGGTTTTACTAAAAATGTCAAAATAATAATAATTATTATTTAAACTATGTAAGAAATAGCTGGAAAAGTTGGAGGAGATTATTAAAACTAACTAAAACATAATAATAAAAAAATAGACAAAGTTATGCTGAACATTGATCCCTATAGTCCTAAGATCATCCATTTGTGATAATACCTCAGAAATTCTTCAACTTAGCGACAGCTGTTCCCACCAGTTCAGTGTAGGTTCGCAGCTTTTATTGTGTCCTTTACAAACAACCTTCTTCTCTTCTCTTCTATTTTTTTTTTTTTTTTTGTAGTCCTTTCGCTGAGTTCTATTTTACACCTGCCTTCTCCAACCGCCGTTTTCCATAGCTCCACTTGTCTCTCTGCCCACAGGTGTTCCGTGAAACATTTCTGAGCACTTTCCTCCTGTCATCATGCATCTATTTCTGGGCTGTAACCTTCTGGCTGTAACCGGGTGCTTTATCCCCTTCTTTGATGTGTGTTGGGCTGACACTTGACACTACCTGGAAAATGGAGTATCCACATAATCCTACATTGCGCACCACATTTTCTAAGTCTACAACATCTGTCACTTCGACGATGCGCTGACATCGTGGTAGAAGAATACATCAACGCACATCTTGTTGCCCCGACCATACCTTCCGTTAGGTTTACTGTTGATTCATCCATTCCGTTCTATCAGCTGGAATAATTTAAATCGCTTATGGAAGCCTAAAAATCCATTAAGGGAAAGACAAAGATAATGAGAATATAGCAGGCAAATTGCAATCTGGGTTTTCTTAATGGCATCCCATCCAAGATGCGGAGTCGTACACCTATTTGGGCAGGGATGAAGATCAAGACGGAGAACTGATAGAGATATTAAAATACGAATACAAAGGCCAAGAGGAGCTTTAAAAGAACTATGAAATTTGAGTTCAAAAGAAATTAAAATTAATACTAAATGTTTTTAGTTATAATGTAAAATCAGTACTACTGTATGGAGCTGAAGCATGTAGATGTAGATCAACTAAAACATTTATTATTAAACTATAAAGATTCCTCAACTGCTGCCCAAGCAAAGTAGAGGGAATTAAATGGTATGATAAAACCACTAATGTTGTGCTTTCTGAGAGCTAAACAGGTTCCAGTGGACCAAGAGGTGAAGAAATGACGCTGGATTTTGATAGGGCACACGTTTAAAAAACCTGAGAAGAATATAACCAGAATGTCTTTGCACTGGAACCTGCAGGGACAAGAAATAAAGGCAAACTAAAAACACTCACGATGAAGGAAGCTAGACAATGATGTTAAAAAGATGGCAAGGACGTGGAATGAGTTGCATGCAATAGCGAAGGAAAGAACGATTTGCCGTGGGTTTGTTGGGGGACTATGTTCTAATGGGTTATAGAAGGCAGAAGTATATAACATCCAGGTCTGTTTAGAACAGGGTCTTCCATATAGGGCACCCGGGCTGGATCCTCGATAAGGAATGAGGTTTATGTTTGTCGGGGGAACATACGAATCTTAACCTGCACGGTTCGTATCGACTGCACTAGCCATGACATCCTCAATCACTATATTCATAACCCCAATGTCCTACACCACAATGTAGTAAAATCTAGCAATAGAGACAGTTTCGAATACACTTCAGCATTTCTAGCCTCTCTTATCAAAGCTCGATACAATGCTACAAAAAATAAATATTTTCCCCCGCCACTAGCCGCATTCGGTTATATCTCAGGTCTGGTTTATTTGTACCTATTATATTGGTTGAAAATGGATTATTTGTGCGTGTCTAGTGGCTTTGTGTTCCCAACTGAATGAGTTGTCCAGGCGTACATGTCTCGGTCCCATTGCCGTCCGGTTATCCTTGTCGTCCGAATGATTGTATTACCGTTACATTGATTGCAGTAGGTATACGAATTTAAAAGATAGTTGCGTATGCTTTATAGGACATTGCAGAACAAACCCCAGCATTGTTAGCTGTTGTGGATTTTCTATTAAAATTTTATGTTCAGTAGTTTGTCATTGCTTTCTCTCTCTCTTTCTCTCTCTCTCTATTTCTCTCTCTATCTCTCTCTCTCTCTTTCTCTCTCTCTCTCTCTCTCTCTCTCTCTCTCTCTCTCTCTCTCTCTCTCTCTCTCTCTCTCGGTGCCACTATCGAAACCAAAGCAAGACAGATTCTCTACACCTGGGATCAAACCCGGCACCCCGTCATTACGAAGCGCGTTCGCAACGCCTAAGCCACAGATGCCGACAGGTATATGAGTACATGTGTTTTGTCCGGTGGAGTCTCCTTAATGAATTTTTTCCGCGTGTCCTATTATGTGGGCTCACTGCAGTTGGGTCTTTCTTCTTTCTTAGAAAGATCCTCCCTTTATCGGAACCGCCGTTTTGTAGCGGCTACATACTTACCTTTGATATAAACCTTAAACAATAATGACAACAATTCTGACAGTTTTTGTAAAAGATAAATCAAGACATCTTCCACCTAACAAATAGATGAGCTGCAATGCACGGGTTAGAAAGAGGTCCCTTTCTTCCTATTCATGAAATGCATGCCGGTTAGAGATTTGCCTTCTGCCGTTGACAGATTCATTAAAGGCGACAAGATAATGGAGGAGACGACGACTGTTCTGCTGGCGAGGAGTGGGTTTTAGCAATGGCTACTAACCAACACTGACTCCGAAATTTAAGAATTTGCATACAGGAAGTGATTTTATTACCGTGAGAAAGAAAAACAACGTGAAAGTGGTAGTGTCTTCTTGTCAATGTTACAAGAGCGTATGTTAATGTGATAATTTTAGCTGTCAGAAATAGGGAGAACTCCAAATGAAAGAAATTAGTATTATACGTGTTAGCAAAAGAGACGTAGGGTGTGCGTAAAATATTTGTTAGTCTGGAGGGAAAGTTGGTATGCCTTGTGTAACGAAAGATGTTCGTTCCTTCTGACCTTTAGGTGTGGGGAGAGAAGAAAGCGAAGTATACATAGATGAAGTTCTGTTCGAGTTCTTGTAGTAGGATTTTTGTCAAAGGTATAAAATAATGATCTAGCATATATGCCAAGTTTAAAAAAATTTTTTTAACATTTGTATAGATGTCTTTAATGTTCATATCACTAAACAAAATACTAATCTTTAAACTGAAATAATTCTGAGGGACAAGTGACTGGATGCTGACAGTAACCATTTAAAACACAGTTATGGTTTTTTTTAAAAACTTCAAAAGCAAATTTTACCATTTTTATATCAACTTATTAACAATACAGTAAAATATTTAGCTACCTAAAACTGTTTGGCCTGGACAATGGTAAGTCTAAACCAGGGTTGGAGCACATCAAGTGGACGAAATCATCAGGTCTGGCCCTGTGAAGGCAACAAAATATGTGACCCTATGTAGCAGGTCTTGTTGTATGGCTACAAGATGAGGTAAATGACAGATCATTCTTCATTATACATCATTAAGTTGTCTCCTCATAACACAGTGGCTACTAATAGATCTTACAAATACCCAAATGGTTCTTGGAAGAAAAAAGCAAGATCTCCATCTCCTAATCAGAAGTGAAGAAAACAAATTAGACAACAGTTGCCTAATGAAAAAGACAGGCGTACCTACAAGTATTTCTAATTAGTACAGTAAAAAATGATGTCAAAAATACACTCTCCCAACTTCACGGAATATGCTGCTCAATAAATAGCAATTAAAATAATAATAATAATAATATTAACAATAATATAAAATAAAAAGATTTAAAAAAAAAACAGCATTCAAAACAAAACTGCATTGCAGTCAAATTCCATGTACCTCTGCAAAAAGAGATCTGCACGATGAGTGTGGGAAAACTGTATGTAAAATAATCCAGCACTTTCAATTTCTGAATAAAGTGGCAGCCTTGGTTACCAGCTGCAGTCCTGTGACAACAGATTAACACCAAAATATTTTCTAATAGTCTCCTGACGCTGCACGTGTGTAGGGGTGGGATTGGCTTTGGGATCTTGAAGCACAACGAGTTGCGGGAGGAGCAGCCTTGCCTCCACTCAAACAGCCTTCACTGTATTCTCCATAACTGCCAGAGTAGGAATCGTAACCGGCATCTCCACTTGTGGACCCATCACCGTAGTCATGATTGGAATCTTGTCCAGATCCATATCCGTAGCTATCATCGTATGAGTCATAACCCCAGATCCATATCCGTAGTTATCATCGTATGTGTCATAACCCCAGATCCATATCCGTAGCTATCATCATATGTGTCATAAGCCAAGATCCATATCAGTAGCTATCATCGTATGTGTTATAACCCCAGATCCATATCCGTAGCTATCATCGTATGAGTCATAACCACCAGATCCATATCCGTAGCTATCATCGTATGTGTCATAACCACCAGAGCCATATCCTTGTGAAGTGTAGTCATAAGAAGCTGCACCAGTTGAGCGGCCGCCCTAGACACTGCACCACGTGCATGTCCACGAGATGATGGGGCTCCCCTGGGGGCACCTCTTGGGGGAGGGCCACCACCTCTGGATAAAAGAGCACCTCTTCCAGGCACTGGTCCATTTCCACGACCTCTAAAGGACCCACGGCCACCTCTCTCTCTGGTGGGCCACCCCTGTAGCCACCTCGTCCACGAGGTGCACCGTTCATTCCCATATCTCCATCATCTCCACCACCATACACGTCGTCAGTCATTTCAGGAATAAGAAACTTCTTGAGTTCAGCCAGAGCCAGGGCAAGTCTGTTGTAACCATCAGTAATTTCTGCGTAACACTCGACCAAGACGTGAAGATCTTCATTCAAATGTGCATACTTTCCACCCTCTTTTCTCAGCTCTTCTTCCTTGTCTTTCTCCCTCATTGATCCTCTGCCCATCACAAAGTTGTACCTGGAGGGTTCTTTGACTGGAACTCTGACTTTTAATGCACATTTCTGAGGTAGATCAGTGTGGCTACCTGTATCATCTGAACAGGTGGGCGGTCTTTTTTATCATCTTCATCTTTCGGTAATCTGTCAATCTACTATATGCCAAGTGCGTAGTTATAGGTCGCAGTATGTCACAATTCGAGCACTGCCAACAAAACGGAAGCTGAACTGTGCAAAATTTGTAATGGTCAATCAAAACGGTACGACTGAGGAAAGATTGACATTCAAAATTTAACACCCAGCTTGAGAATGGAAGTTGAGATCGTAACAGTTGCATTCCAATGAGCAGAGAAAATCTCTGCCACACATGTTAAAGTTTCGGCTTCAAAAGCATGCTAGGGAAGATGGAATTTTATTTTCCTGGTACAGAATGAATCGCGTCAATCAAGAGGTCGCAGCAGGTGAGAGTCACGTTGATTGTTTCCCCTTTAGATAAGTATTTATCATGTTATTGAAAATTTGTTACAGAAAACTGCGCTTGTTTACATAAATCAAAGCAATGTTCCCGCTGTAAATCTGATCACAGAATACACAGCCTGTGCAATATATCGTCTAGCATATTTCGGTATATCTCGTCAGATACATACCACCGTAACAATTGATTATAATGAAGCAACTTAATTAATCATTCTAACTGAAATACAAAATACAGTTGCACTCAAAAGTTACTGCCTCTTTACCAGGGCAAGGAAAGCCTAACTACCATGTGTTTTTACCATGTGCACAAATCGGAACTTATCTTTTCGCTTCAATCCAGATTTGAGCAGAAAAAATATATTCTTTACCCTGACATATATATATGAGATGCAGGTTAGTATCATTGTGTTTCCTCCTTAGACAATTCATCAACAATTCTGGAAATTGTTTAGTACCCATTCACCTGAGCCTGGTTTTCCACACTGAGTGAAAAAGAAAAAAAAAAATGCTACTTCTGGGGATTTACCCAGGACGACTATCACGACAGGTATGCACGCTAACCAATAGGTCATCTCGGTAAATGTATCCTTCTGAAAAAGATTCAAAAGTCAAAAGAAATGCCACTGAAATGCCACTATCTTCAAGGTGACAACACTGACAAAATACAATGTATATTCTACGGTTTGTCTTTCATGTGTCATCTGACAAAATGAAGAATATCAAAGAAGCATCTACTGCTCCCCCCCCCCCCCCCCCCCCCCCCAAAACCCCCAACCGTTTTCTGGATGCGTTTTCGTGACATCAAGACAAAAGACAAATGATTTTCTACGGCATGTGGCTAATATCACAAAGGATTAAAATAAAACTATACGTTTCAAAGCACTCTCCATTTAGAAAGATAGATTGTCCATGTCTATCCAAAGTGATGATGAATTTTACATTAGATTTTTAAAAACCTGAAACCGCTGCAGCGTTCACACATGCACGTCAATGATCAGCATTAAAGGATTGTGGCCATAAACCCGCTTCTAGATTGCCTATGTAAGAAGATTAGCGGCAGACATGGTGACCCCGGGAGCTCATCTCCGGCATTAAAACCTGGTTACTGTTAGTGGAGCTGGCTTGTTTTTTTTTTTTAGTTTTCAAAACTTCGTAAACAACAACGATATGTTAACAGAACAGAAGACGAGACATGGATCAGAAGAAAGATAATGGGTGATTAAGGCAGTGTGTGTCGGGGGGATATATAAAACTGATATTTCAATTATTAATACACATGTGCCATATGATGTGTTTTAGAATACAGAAAAGAGAAAGAAAGAAAGAAGGAAAGAAAGAGAGAAAGAAAGAAAGAAAGAAAGAAAGAAAGAAAGAAAGAAAGAAAGAAAGAAAGAAAGAAAGAAAGAAAGAAAGAAAGAAAGAAAGAAAGAAAGAAAGAAAGAAAGAAAGAAAGAAAGAAAAAGAAAGAAAGAAAGAAAGAAAGAAAGAAAGAAAAAGAAAGAAAGAAAGAAAGAAAGAAAGAAAGAAAGAAAGAAAGAAAGAAAGAAAGAAAGAAAGAAAGAAAGAAAGAAAGAAAGAAAGAAAGAAAGAAAGAAAGAAAGAAAGAAAGAAAGAAAGAAAGAAAGAAAGAAAGAAAGAAAGAAAGATGTCTGACAGGACAGCTCTGTAGTGTTTTTCTTTTATTTCAGCGTGGAAGACAGGTAGGCCCACGATGACTACTTGATGTGTGTGCAGTTTTAGCTGTGAACCCATCTTGATTACAGTATAATTGTGAATTGAGCTTGCCAACCACAGTAATGCCGGTCGTACTTAAGTAATCGGGTTGGGACCCGCATTGAGTCAAACTTTTATTTATGTATTTACAATTTTTTTTCGGTGGTTACTAAATTGATTTCGTCTCCCTGGTCAACTCAACCCGACATGGGACCAGGTAATGTTATGAGAAGCAAAGGCTGCTGGCGTTATGGTGATTACATACCCCAACGAGTGTCTATTAAGTGCATCTAGATGCTTCCGTGAACCGAGATAGAAATGCATAAACTGTGTTCACTGTATCATTACATCTGCACTGTATCGTTCACTGTATCATTTCATCTGCACTGTATCGTTCACGGTATCAGTACATCTGCACTGTATCGTTCACTGTATCATTACATCTGCACTGTATCGTTCACTGTATCATTACATCTGCACTGTATCGTTAACTGTATAATTACATCTGCACTGTATCTTTCACTGCATCACTACATCTGCACTGTATCGTTCACTGTATCATTACATCTGCACTGTATCGTTCACTGTATCATTAGAATACCTACTAAAAATAAAACTTTAATCACTGTGCTAATAAACGGCTTTGATCCAGACACCATTAGTTGTAAGCCCTGTGGCTTCATACTATGGATATCGCAACCCTTCAGCCTTGTTTGCAACCATAGATAGCGTAAATCTGGGAAATATGTGCAACTTGGACCACAAGAAATGTGTCACCCGCAACTGGTTTATCAAACTTAGCTAGCGCACCGGGCATCTAATTAAGTCGTTAAAAAATTTCGAATTCTTTTTGGTGCAACGAAGTTCACGCACGGTAGGATTCGCTTTGTGATCTAGGGACGTAGACTGAACCACCTATGAAGATGATAATTGAAAGTTACCCAGTACACAACACAGACAGAAATCACTTATCCCCAGACATTACTTAACAGGATGAGGTCATCAATTCGCGCCACTAACAAACTTGATAGTTAAGAAATGCTGACAATATCAGAATATCTGCAAATATACTTCTTCTTAAACAGTATTAAAAGTCTATGATTAAGCACTAGCAAGGAGCTCAACATTAGAATTTTTAGAGCATGCATCTTCTCTTTAGCAACATACGGATGTGAGTCGTGGACTATCTCCCAGTCCTTAGGAAAGAGAATAGGGGCTTTTGAGCTGAAATGCTTTAGAAAGATTCTCATAATATTTTTGACAAAGAAGAGGAGAAATACTGACATCTTAAAAGATCTGAACATTAATGAAGATTGGCTAATAAACATCATCCTGTCTCGGAAGCTGAAATATTTTGGTCATATCAAGCGCCAAGACGAATTGGAAATGTTTTTAGCAGAAGGCATGGTACCAGGAAGGAGGGGCAGTGGCCGACCGACACGAAGTTGGGCACATGATATAAGTGACTCCTTGAGTATGAAAATACATAAGGCGGGAGAACTGGCGAGAGACCGAGTTTCTTTCAGGCAGACTGTGATGAGAGCGACGTTGTGCAAAGGACCTGCTACATGATGATGATGATGATACCTCCTCTTCTCTTTTCTTTATTTCCGTTTTACCGCTTGGGATGACAAGGGAGATATACGGTTCTGTTTCTTCCTTTTCTTGCCGCCTAGACATTAGACACATCTTGCTGTTGTAGAGTCTCTCTGATGTTATTAGACAGCGAAAGTATACCGAGATAACACTGTATCTCAATAAATGTTCGTATCAAGCCTTTTTATGTCTGTTTACTCAGAAAATTTAGAATGTCTAGAAAAATAAAATACAAGTTTAAATACCAGTACTTGTATGCTTTCTATATGGCCTTACTTAGAAAATTTAGAATCTCTAGAAAAATGAAATACACGTTTCGATACTTGTACTTGTATGCTTTCTAAATGTGCCAATGCTTAGAAAATTTAGAATATCTAGAAAAATTAAATATACGTTTCGATACTAGTACTTGTATGCTTTCTAAATGGCCATTACTTAGAAAATTTAGAATATCTAGAAAAATTAAATATACGTTTCGATACTAGTACTTGTATGCTTTCTATATGGCCATTACTTAGAAAATTTAGAATGTCTAGAAAAATGAAATACACGTTTCGATACTAGTACTTGTATGATTTCTAAATGGCTAGTACTTAGAAAATTTAGAATGTCTAGAAAAATGAAATAGATTATATATGGGCTCATTTTGACAAAAGACACGAGATTGGATGGAATAGCATATCTGAGAGTGTGTGAACAAGGTATTAGGATTGGATCTGACAAGGAAGGGCGTATGGGAGGGAGAGAACGACCTGTGTATTATCAGTGTGCTACGGGAACAGTCAGCATCTACACCTTACGACATTTACTGCGGAAGACGGAGCTTCCATGGGTGTGCTCGCTGTGCTATGATGTGGATTCTTAAATCAGTAGTCAGTAATTAGTATGTATCAATTCTCCTTCCGTCTGGTATCTCTGAACACCACACGCGACGAAGCAATACACTATTTACTGTTTCTGCATCAATATCCTCATGTAACAACCAATTCTAACCCTAAATACAAATATAACACTTACTTAATACGCTTGTGCTAGACCTAAAACGACCCTCGGCCGATACAGTATGGGCAGAATCTATGGAATCCACTCTGAACTTTCCCACAACTAATTCTATTAACCAAATGAGTCTTAATTGCTCAAATGACATTCCTTGTAGTAACAAGAGCATTGAGCTGTTTGGCTGTTATAGGCCGGGTTGCTTTTCGTGACCGGTTAGAATAATTATGTTGCACAGTCATCAAAGATTCCGCCTGCTTCCTAATGTTGGCAGTTTTATGGGAAATGTTTCAGAGATGATTCATGG